TAGTCTAGAAAACACGCTGTAATTTTCCGATAGCTAAAGTTGTAAATAAAAATTTATAGTTATCGATATTTCATTATTCGATACATCAGTAAACTAGTAACTTTGATTTGTGTTGTTCATAGAGACGTGAGCTCTAATATTACGAATGTTACATTGTGTGAGTAATCGAATGCTGATCCCAAATTCCAATTCAAATTCAAATGTTTTTATTCATAATCAGGTGTTTTTTAACCAGAATTGTGAATGTTGTGAACTCGATGTCGATAAATAAAACTCTACATCTCTATTACAACATTTTATATTTATTATAACCGTGTCTTCAATCATTGATTTGCTTCTATTCAGAAAGCGACGTTCGGAAAAATACAGCCAATAAGTACCTAGTCTCTGATTAATCTATTGAATCTGATTTAAGCTTTTGCACGGGTTCTCTTCATTTTTTATAAGAAATATGATTGGAAAGGTATTTTGCCGTCTTCAATTTCATTCCCTTTAATCCTTGAGGTAATTTAAATAAGTAGGTATCTGCTTTCCTTTGATATCTGTAGTTCTGTGGGCACAATGAGTAACAAATTGTAGGTACACCCAAGGTAAACTAAATTTCAGTAGGGACACTATCATTATTAAAAGTGAAAGGTAGGTAAAACTTACTCATCACGAAATCTCAGAAACTATAACACCTACAAACTTTAAATTTGGCAGGTAAGTTCCTTATAGGGTGTAGCCATCCGCTAAGAAAGGATTTTACGAAACTCCATCTCTAAGAGGATAAAACGCGGTCCACGCATACGAAGTCGCGGGCGGCCGCTAGTTCAGTATAATCGATATTTCAATATCTACCAGCAGGTTTCTAAACATACATTCAACAGACTGAGTCTTTAGAAGCGATATTCGCCAAAGGCCATTCTTGTAGGTGTCTGTGTGTCGTATTGAGGAGTCAGAGCGCCTGACAAGGGATTACATAAAATCCTCGTCTGCATTGATGGGGGCTACAGTTTGTACGGAGAATTCAGCGCTTGCACGGATAAAGTAAAGCGGACAAAGTGCACCATTTTTAGGGTTCCGTACGTTTAAAACTCCTCTGTCTATCTGTCTAAATAAGTTGACTGCTGAAATTGGTTCAGAAAAAGGTATTTATAATGCTTAATAAGATAATTTAAACAGAAACGAGGAGCCTCCAACGAAGGTATGATCACGAAAGTATAGTAGTTACATAGCTCAACTTGTGCGTTGGTACGGGACCCTTCATGGGTGTTCGACTCGTGCTTGGCCGGTTTTAATAGGAACAGCTTTACTCCGATCATCGTCAGACTGAGGAGGTTTTGAGGACCTAATTAGTAGCTAACGAGGAGAGTGTAATCTCCAGCCCGATTCTTATAAGCCTTTACCTGGAAAAATGGACACTTCAATAGGTACGCTTTAAGCTGCTATTGATGCAACGTGGTTCAGAATTGGAGATTTTGTATTTTCTGGCAATGATCAAAAAGAAAAGTTTTTTACTCAATCGCCGATTTACTCAATTACTGTTACACAATTGACGTAAAGTACCTACATTTTTAAGTAGGTAATGTGGAGACATTATTAGACAAAATTTCAAAATAGCTTTTATCGAAAGCTCCTTTTACACAAAATGATATAATGTAGGAACAGTAAGTCAGTACGAGTATATGGAAAGTTTTTTTTTTATGAAATTCAGACGGAAGCTTAGATAGTAAGAGCATATCAATTGTCTTTCGCATAGCAACACAAAGATCAGATCAAGTAACTCGCTCTCAGCCAAATGTAAAACCTATGCCAGCATGAGACGAAATATAACACTTTAAATACGATGCGATTTGTATTGTAACAAAATAAATGAAAGAGCCAAAGTGGGTCCATAAGGTAGCTTTTTTAAAAGCCCTAAAGTATGGTCATGTTGTTTTATTTTTTACTGTTATGAAATGGACAATACATTTTATTTTGTGCGGTATTTATTTTAATTGATAGCTTAAAGTGATCAACCCTCTTCTGTATGCTTTCCCATTGAAATGAGAGGTCTAGATTGATTGGAAACAATTATCGTGCATAAAAAAATTACAGGCGCAACTAGGAGTTGCAAGAAAAACAATGGCGAAATATTAATAATTGGACGCTACGCCTCTGAATACACAAAAAAAAATTATTTTCTCTTCGCGATCGTTTTACCTCATTAATTTTTGGATGTTATTGCTTCGAAAAACATTAATTGGTTTCAAATTAACATGTGGGGGAGGGAGGCTTCCCGAAGCTGTACGTAAAAAATTCGCATTTTCAGTAGTGAAAATAACGAAACAATAAAAGCCATATTTTTAAAGGTTTTTTTCAGTGCACTTTGTTCTTATCAAAGCTGTAAATTATAGCTGAAATTATCGACGTATTGACGTCTTTTCTAACATATTGTACAGTCAGTTTCAAAAATAGAAACTCATGAATACACCGTAAGCTTCCGATCGCGTGATCACTTGAAAGTTGGTTCACCTGTAATGCATCATTGATCAGATCAAGAGTGGACGATCGTACACAAATGCCAACATACACGACGGTATATCGAACAAGTACGAGTACCTACCTACTTTAACAACAGCCTACAAGTACACTCAAAGGCAATTGAAGCATCATCATCTTAACTGTGATGCGCTTTAATGCTTTTTCGTTTGGTCTTTTGTTTCTTACATTGTCTTTCTTGACATTAGGCCCGGTTTCCGCCAAAGCGGAGCGATGCGGAGATGATAGATGTGCGGCGAAACTTTTTCCACAAGCGGAGCGGAGATTGAGCGGAGAAGAGTGGTGCGGTGCGGAAACGAGAGATGTAAGTATGTGCTGTGCGTAGCTGTCAGCTGTCAGTTTATTGCTATCTATGAAATGGTAAGAAGCTCATTTCTTGAAATCGTATTTTGACTTAAAAGTAACACTGAATTTAATCTGGTTTACGGTCACAAGCAGTAAAATTCGTGTGGAAACCTGGAGAGATGCAGCAATTATGGACTGTAATGCAACAGCTGTCCGGCATGACTAATGGCCACAGTCAAATTAAAATGAAAAGGCATATTACCGTGTACCTACCTACCTGAATTACCAGTAAAATATCAAACGAGATTTAATACTAACTTCAAAAGTGTGTTTTTTGTAAATCTTTCAACGTAGCTTCCTTCAATCTCTTGTAACGTAGGTACCTAAGTTTTATTTTTGGTGCAAAACACTCATTTTCTAAGTTTTCTAAGTATATTATAAAATGAATCGCAAAATGTGTTGGTAAGCGCATAACTCAATAACGCCTGGAGCAATTTTACCAATTCTTTTTTTTAATGTTCGTTGAAATCCAAGGATGGTTTTTACGGCGAGAAAAAATCGAATGATTTCTGAGGAAAATTCAATCCCTAGGGTGTAAAACGGGGTCCACGCGTACGAAGTCGCGGGCGGCCGCTAGTTATATATAATTAAGATGCCACAGTTATTTCCATTTCAAAACTAATTCTAACTTGTACATTAATTTGTACGAACCGTTAGTCGCAAAGGGAGTAATTATAGTACCTACAGGTGGGAATTTCGTTATTTTGAAGTCTAAATTATTATTTTATTTTATTTTGATTTATTTGTAGTACCTACGCTATAGTGTTAATGTTTTTTTAAAGTAAATTGTGATTCATAACGCTGACTGTACTCGATAAAGTAGTTTAAAAGTCAAAGTCCAGGGCGGGGGGCGCGACAAATCAACTCAGTACTGAAAAGAAGTCGGTTAAAAAAAAGAGTCTGCTTTTGTACAGCAAACATAGTGAAGATTTCAGGCAAAACATAATGTTTTACTGATTAGTCCAGACTCCAAACAAACACGTTGTTTTCCAAGCAAAAGTAAGACTACTTTACGTCCCACTGCATGACACAGTAAGGATTGGTGAAGGGGTGAGTAAAAAGGTGTGTGATAACCTCATTTTCAAATGTTATACAACCGTTTTAAGGCTTCTGAATAGGCTTATGACTAATGCCACGTGATATTACTCGTAGCTGAGACCAAATGAGATGAGATGAGATGTTTCAACGAAAAATGCTACTAAATATGAAAGGAATGATCACATCTACTTATTCCCGGCAGATTCTTCATCTTTCGTGTTAGCAAGGCCTTAATTTGATTTATCAAGTATATTAGAGAGACTTAACCCTAACGACCCATGCAATAAAATTACAGGGTGTAATTTTAAACAGAATATACACTCAACATCAAATAAACCGCACCTTCCGCGACGCGAACTTTAAAGATTTTCTTCTGACACAATCATGTTACCCCAACAATTTTGGTGTTATTTGAAAGCCCAATAAATATCCTTAAAGAAAAAAACATTTCATTTTTAAATAAATGATTAACATATACCATAAATGTGACTTGAAAATAGATCTCACTTTGGGCTCACCTCTGGGATCAATTAGACCAATTTTTATGGTTATAAAACCAAATAAAGATCTCACGTGTCCTCTTTAACAGATGGATAGCGATTAATCCCAACTTAACAGTTTTATAGTCATAAAAAATGGCTATAGCGTAACTACTTATTTTTTGAAGAAGTTACTCTGGATCCTTCTAAAGACACATTTTTGGGGTAAAAACCTTTCCTTTAATGAAATGAAGTTTAGAACTAGGCTTTCAAATGGTACCAATATTGGTGGGAAGTGGGGATGCATACGTTTGATAAGTGCTTGTCGCGGGAGGTGCGATTTATTTGATGCCGAGTGTAGTTGGTAGATTCCCGGGGGTGACAAGCAAATTTTTGGAAATCTTTGAATGCAGTTCTATTTCATTTCAAAATAAAGGAATGATTTCTTTAAGTAAAATTGTCCATCTACAGTATTGAAAATACTTTCCCTCCAGGAGGCATTAGAAAATTCCACCATCACAATCATATCACTGCTGCAGTTATTGAGAAATTAACAATAATAATCTTAATATGAAATAATAGTAGTCTACTTAAATAGGTACATAAAATACTTACGTGGTATGCAATGTTGGTGACGTGCACCAAATCGTCGTCGGAGTACGGGAACGAGGCTTCAGGATCGAATTCGAATCGGCTCAGCAATCTGTAGCGCAGCACATCCTCCTCCATGCCTTCCACCTCTCTGCCATGATACATCCTGGGGAGCATACGTCTCTAAATAAAAAAAAATGTAAATATCTTTGGACAATTTCACACAGCGCTATCTAGCCCCAAAGTAAGCAATTAATATGCTGGTGTTATGGCTAGCTTAACGGATATACTACATATACATATTAAATACATACATAATTATACATAGTACCTAACACCCAGACCCGTCACAGAAATTAAAATTCATCATTTCAATTTCTGCCCGGCCGGGAATCGAACCCGGGACCTCTCGGCATAGTAGGTCCGTTTTAGAACTACTACACCAAACATAGAAATAAACGCAGAATTGACGGCCGATGGAGCAGCAAGGTTCTGGAGTGAAGGCCACGTACCGGAGAGCGCAGCGTAGGACGTCCAACCACAAGGTGTACCGACGACCTTAAAAAGGTAGAAGGAAAGCGCTGGATGCAAGCCGCTATTGGTAGCGGCCGATCGTTATGGAAATCATCGGGGGAGGCCTACGTTCCACTGTAGACGTAGAAGAAAAAACTGGGAAACATTATTTTTGAGCAAAGTGTATTGTGAAGACACCTTCAAAAGAGAAGATTTCTGATGGAAAGAACTCCCATATACTCTTGTATTTTTATTACAACCGTCTTGCTTCTTGTTTCCCCTGCCTACTACAAAATGTAAATGCGCGCGGTAAGCGTAGAAACAATTTTCCTGTCATTTTAGGTGCCGTGCTTGAGCGCGGCCCAGAGGCAGCATTTATCTAGCTGTGACGTCAGTGAACAAGCTAAATGCCGCCGAAGCTTGAGGTTTAGTTCAATTTCTAAGCTCCTGGATATGGTAAATCAATAGCCCAATCTTGGGAAAAATAAGACTCGTAAATTGTCAACTATGTAGTACCTACTCACTCGTTTTTCTTTAATGTATAATACTGACTGACTATGGTTAGGAGAACTCTTATGTACCTGAAAAGCAAGCTTAATTTAAAGTAGTAACTACCTTTATTGCTTTGAAATCAATATCTAGTATAAGATCGAAGCAATTAAAAGTTTCATTTCGCTCATTAGTTGAATTTCCTACACGTTTTGCTGCAACTTTCCTTTGTGTGTTTCTTAATATAATTTCTTCAGCATTCGATATATTGATACGTGATCGCATTTCTATCATGTGATATAGTTATCATCCTTAATGAAGTAGCAAACTATTAGTTGTAATGTGATATTATAATCTAATTGAATCGAAAACACAACAATAATTTTGGGTCTTAAAAAGTCAGCTATTTAAAATTACCATTTTTCTGAAATATTATTGTGTGAAATCAACCGCCTTTGCACTTTCAACAACTTACCATCAACAATATGCCAACTCGATAAACGCCGGTATACAGAAATAATTAACAGTTTCGGACATGTTTTAGCGAACACAAAACACTGCACAACAGACCGAATGTCATCCGTCCGTCTCGTTTACCCCCAGCCCAGACACCCCTGCCGGAACTCGCACTCAAAGCGAATTTTCCGGATTGTTACAGGCTTAGTGGCGATTGGTATGTAGTTATGGTCAACCTTATGGCCTGGCATTAAGGCTGAAATAAATCAAAACCCAGTGCTGTTTCAAATTTGCTAGCACCATGCTGACTGAAGTTTGATAACTCCGCATAATATCAATATAACACAATATCCCGGCACCCTTCATTTTCGCTTGTATTGTGAAGTCTGTGATAGCAAAGGGTTATTAACAGACTCATTCAGTGTAGCGGAGTTTATGAAAGCGAATGTAGCTACTCTTCAATTACGAACAAGTTAGGTATTATACTAAGGCTAGTTTGCACCGAATGTTACTTTAACTTTACCAAACGTCAAAAATCTGTCAAACTCCATAAAAAAAATAACCGGTTATCGTCGAAGTTACGGTCAAAGTTAGGTGGTGCAACTTATCCTAAGAGAAACATTGATTTTGAAAGCGTTACACAAATACTTTAAAATGCGCTCACCAATACCTATCTATTGAAATCTGACTTATTAAACAAACATTATAACCTTCATTATGCTACTAACTACATACCACATTACTCGTACAATAGCCATTATTTCAGCCAGTGCCAGTACACCGAGCACAAAATCACAGATAAAAAAACCTTTCTATTTTAGATTGACAGCGTAAAGCGAGCGATTCCAGTTCCCGCTTCTGTTACAGATCAACGACTGCTTATTCAAAGGACGTGGCGACAGTCGCGCCGAGAGAAACAATATTATGAGTACTGTCCCGAAGGATAATAAGCTGAGGGTCTACTCCTCAAACGGTTACCTCATTATATGCCAGCTCTGTCTTTCATCAACGTTGAGAGAAAGATGGATAGAGTCGAGACCGCGAAAATCATTTGGAGACTTTCAGGTATTAGGGTACTAGAGAGCAATAATGCAGTGGTATTGCTAGCTAAAAATAAGTAACAAGCAGTGATTAAATGAACCAACTGAATATTGGCTCTTGGGAGACAATCGTTTAGTCGTCTTGTATTGTCAACCTGTGCCAGCAATATCGCACGCGTACAAAATCTTGTTAGCGCCGCATTATGTTGTTGCACTCAACCGAGATCTTTCATTTTAAGGGGTTGCGTTTGGTAGAGGGTTTAATGTCATGTTGTTTCTTATGTAGAACTCTACACTGATCATTATAACCATCTGTCTTCTGTCTTTGTGATATTGAATGATTTATAGAAATAGATTTAGATTTATCGTTGCAGGTTTTATATTATTTCAGTAAAATCCATTGCAGCCACGAGGTTGCGCTGTGAGCTTGAGTTATAAGTTATTATTAAGCTCTGCCTACGGTAAAGTTTAGTAAAGTTCTTCAACTTTGTGATGTTCATGATGCCTGATAGGTATTTAGAGTCAATAATAATTTTTAATAATGTTATAAGAATACACTCGTATATTTTTTTAAATGAAGAAACCTCAAACCTCAGAGATTGGTGTTTTCGTGAATTTGTAAATTACGTAGTTTCACGTTACTTAGTTTAGAATTAACCTACTAAGTATTATTTATAAGTAAGTGCCTGTCGACATGAGTTAAGAAATTATAGCTTTAATTAATACCTAAATAATAACTGTTGTGTCCTGTTGTATCTTTTATGCTTCTGGAAGAAAAAAATCTGGTTCTGCGTAGGACGTCCACCCAAAAGGTGGACCGTCGACCTCATAAAGGTAGCGGGAAGGGGCTGGATGCAGGCCGCCTCCAACCGACCATTGTGGAAATCATCGGGGTAGGCCTATGTTCAGCGGTGGACGTCCTATGGTTGAAAATGATGATGATGGTGATGATGAATTTCGTGGTTAATTTCAAACTTACTTATAAGTATACGGCCCCACTTCTGTCAACTCCGGCACAGCTCCTTCGAGAACCTCCTCGGCGTTGCTGATGTTGAACAGCCTGATGCTGAAGCTTAGAGGCATGGGCAGTTGCTTGAACCTCTCGAGCTGTTCTGTGTCGTTCAGCAGTATCACCTCCTGAGATATAGGAATGAATGAAAATGATACGGCGTACGGGAAAACGCAGCGTGGGACCCACAAGGTGGACCGACGTCATCACTAAGGTAGCAGGAACGCGCTGGACGCAGGCCGCTACCAACCTGGCAACATGGAAAGCATTGGGGGAGGCCTATGTTCAGCAGTGGACGATGGCTGAGATAGGAATTAAGTCCATGGTTGAGTTGAGTTAAGATTAATAGCAATGTACAGCAAGTCAGATACGCATTTCGCCAGAAAGGATACAAAATAAGTAACAAGTGCAGAGGCTTTTTACATAGATTAGGCAAATAATTTAGGTTTTTGATTCGCAATGCATAAGTTGTGTTAAAATAAATATTTGATCATGGGGGTCTCAAAACTACCACACTATGATGTCTATGATCAACATACTCTAGTTACCAATATTTTTAATAAACCGTAGGGATTAAAGCAGTAAGTATGAAGTGTATCACGGTGCAAAATAAAATTATACATTTTTCCAATTACGAGTACTGTAACTAGTAATAATGCTAATATGCATTAAGCTTGATACAGCCTTGTAGATGCTGCTTATAAAGGACTAGATTTATCATTCGAGTAGGTAATTAATGACAACTTTTTTAAGCTGCAAGTCAGCGAACGAGTAGTAGTATGTTGCGATTACGGTTGTCTTAATAATTTAATTTAGTTTATGGCAGTTCCATACTTACGTTAATAATACCATTTTCTACGATGCCGGGTATGACCAAAAACCCAACAATGCTGCTGGCGATCACTAGAGCTGCCCCCAACACCAGCGTCGTAACACCACAAACCATTCCACTGCACATTTTTATTAAATTATTTATTAATTAATTAATTAATCAGCTACCACCACACGTGAACTTAAACCTAATGAAATTAATGATAAGTAGCATTGCGGGTGTTTACGATACCGATAATTTTAATCTCGCTGAATCTTTACTAATTCGTATAAAATGATAACAGGTGTTTAATTGGATTTATGTTTATTTTTATTACTTGGTAAGTAGGAAAGTCACGTTCGTAAAAATGAAGATAGTTACACTAAAGTACGTAATAGTTATTTTCTTATGACTTGATGATAAATTGAGCTCTTTGTTCTTATTATTAAAGTTAGTTACGTAGCTTTTTGCGTTATCTTCTCATTACTGCACAAAAAATAGGTAGCTACATAATACAAAATAGATTACAGTTTAAATTGCATAATTTTCCTCATGATAACATCAAAAAGAATTTGATGAGAATGAAGATCAAAAAGGATTCACTGATTTATTGGGAACTGTAGAACAATTAATTCGATCGAAGAATTAAGATAATGCAGTTATGCAACATGTAGTAGCTCATGATAACGACACTAAATACTGTAATCAGTACAACGATTTACGATTTGCGAATGCGTATTGAAACCAATTTGATAGTAATTTAAACTTCAATTATTGCACGAGTACAAATTACAATCACAATGGTGGCGAATCAACGATTAGGGTGAATATCCCAAACACGTTTTTTACGCGGCGGAGCTGAGAATCGATGGGAGAAATGTAACTAGAGCGATGATTTTTTTTCTGTATATAGTTTATACAGCGTTTTACACGATAGCAAAGTCTTCAGGACAATAGGTAGTTATTTTATGTACTAAAAAAATTTTCAAAGACCCAAAATCTAATAGCGGTGGCGCGTCCTAACTCTATTTCTACTCATAAATTGTGTTATTCCTTCTTTCTCGGGGATTCTAGTAATTTAAAAATAGTATAGCCATAAAATACATTAAATAAGACTTCCAAATGATATGAAAGAAATGTGATATTTCATATTTTAAGTGTTTTAAATAGCCTTTCAAAACTGTCCCACGAAAAAAAGCAATTACAGTGGCTCAATTTCGACACTCTCTTACTTCTCCAAAGAAGCTTTGAGAGACGTAGAGTTCTTCTTCCCTGCATCACTCAACTGTGTCCTCCTGATCGGGCTATAAAGACTTGCGACTTGTGGTATTGTTTTTCCAGCAGACCCGTAAATATTAGTATCAGCGGCACAGGAATACAAAATTTTTCAATTTCGCTGGCAAGTGTATGAGTGAAAGCTACTTACTTAGATGCTAAACGATTCTTTAACATGATTAAAGTTTGGTGTTTTGTTGTATCTGCATACAGAAATTATTGATCAGAATTATAGTTTTCTTTATAATTTGAATTTTGTAACAGTTTTTCAATTCCGGTGGCGCAATTTCGGTGGCTCCGGTGGCGAATCTATTGCCGGAATTGGTCTTATTGGCTCTGGAGCATTGTACCTAGGTCTACTAAGGTCTCAGTCATAACTACAATATCGTCAGTGAATCGAAGTTGTGTGATGTACTCGCCGTATCTTGATACTGAGCTCGGTCTAGCTCAGAAGCTTGAAAACCTCTAAGTGGGAGGTAGTGAAGACTTTAAGAGATTATGGTGTCTCCAACTCTGAACCCTCGCAGCAATCAGATAAGTTTCGAGTTCTGATCTTGGGGGAGGGCTGATATGATGAAGTTTTCATACAAATACTTCAGAAGTTGCATGTATCGACAGTCAATTTGACGCCATTAAAGAGACTGTAGCACAGCCCAGGTCTTGACCGAATCGAAGAAGGTACAAAAAGGCCAATAATAATGACTGATTATAGTCCTCAGTCTTCTGCATAATTTGACGCAGCATTAAATATGTACGTAGTATTACAAACGTCTTTTCGAAAATGAGGTTGTCTGGGAGACTGGATGTTTCAGGAAAAAGCTGCCTCACCTGACTCTGGACCATCGCCAACGTCCATTCCATTCCAGTCTCTAGCACCACCACCATGTCTTATTTTTTGGTTTATCGACCAATAAACATGGTGGTATTTAAGAGAACTTTAGTACTAGCATTCCATCTGATTTCATAAGCTCAGTTGTGATTTCATTATCTCCTGGTACATACCTTGTTGTTTTTAATAGGGCATTCTAATCTCACTCAAGCTAAAGTCTAGGATATCTTCGCTAAAGTGTCGGAATAATCTCGATCTTCAGCCTAATTACTAGTAGTGCTTCTTAATCTCTCCTAGCAGCTTAGGCATTTACCAAAATGGTTCTGCTATCCTCGTTATTCATGTTGGTATATTCAATTTGGTCCTCGCAAATACATACTTTCGATTTATTACAAAAAAATCGTCTCTATAATACACTTTGTATCAGCGTGAGGACTTGGATAGCTATTTATACATCGATACTAAGCAGAATCTTAAAAACAGATGAGAATAGTCCTGAAACAGCTAAAATTTCCCTAGTCTCGTAGGTTGCAATCTATTCTGCCACTCGAGATGAAAATTCGTGGGGCTTTGGAGCTGGATTGGCACTGGTCGTGGCTTAGGCTTCATCAGTCGACAGCTTTTGAGCATCTTTTATTCGGCATTCTTCTATTTCGGTGATGACTTCTTCTTCTTCCTCGGTCCCTCACTGATGAGGATCGCAACCGCAGATAGTGTTCCTTCATAGACTGCGGTCATAAGCTGTGTGGTGATCGGAGAATGCAAATGTGATTAAATTGCCTGTTCGTCTAAAAATGATTACTACATTTTGATTTTTGCAGTACTATTAGGGTGCAGCTCAGTACGCTTTTACAGTTCTGGCATCTTTTGCTAGGCCTTCTCTCTCTATGAGGCTGGCTGGATTTAGTCCTCCGTTTCTTAATTGTACTACTTTCATCTAGCTCATTGTCGCTAGGTTTGCATAGTTTTCCGTTAAATTACCCTGTCACAAATATGTAATGTGTTAGTTCAGTAGCTGGTATAGATCTAGAAATATCTTCATACTTAATCTCCAGTTCGCATGGTCTTTAGCGAATAATTAGTTGCGTAATTCTGAGTATAGGATAGGTATGATACCATCATGAAAACTTGGCTAGCCTGGACCAATATTTTTACTTATGGAAGATAAACCTAACACCAACCTGGGGCAGTTGGTCGCCCTCCCGGGACTAGAGTTGGTTTCTGGGTTTGAGGGTCATGTATGATGTCTTTGTGATGACTCTAGAATAACGGGGCTGTTGGCGGCTAGAGCCAGAAAGTTTTGGATTTGTTCTCTATGGAGGGATTTTGCCGTTATCACCATGCTTAGCAGGCTGGTTGGTAGTTCCAGTATGGTAGTATAATACCCGGAAAGATGCTGCAGCCCACCCTCCAGTATTTTGATTCCTTAGTCGGCTATTACGACTCACGTGTGAAGATTTGATGCTTTTTTAAAAAAAATATTCAGGCCTGTGTTGGGACCCTAGTCCTAGCCTGAATATTTTTTTTAATTATAAACATCTTTACTGGATAATAATACTTATCCCTTAAATGGNTTAATTGATTACAAATAAATTAGTAATTTGAGACAATCATCCGTAACATTCCGAAGTCCGCTGTATAAATAAATTTCGGTGGATTGGTTCTTAATTCCGGTGGCTCAAATACAATTTCGGTGGCTCTTGATAATTTCAAATTGACATATCTCGAGAACTATTAATAATATTTAGATCTCTACCATATCATTGAATAATACAAGTTATTTACTATTATTTTTGCCACAAAAAAGTTTTGGAAAGTGGAAATTAAAATTCGCCACCGGAATTAGGCAAAAAACGAGTTTGTTGATATTCACCCATTAACCAAAATTAATTTTGTTGCGCGCCGCACGCGCTTGGGAGATTCCCCGGGGCCCGGGATTTGACACCAACAATTAAAATTAAATTATCTACTGAAAGCCCGTGGCCTGTGGCATTCATTTCAGTAATCACTTGGATAAAAGTAATAATGGTCTCCTTTCAAGTTGGAAAGGTACGAGCATTATGGTATGAAATTGAATAAAATATTTATAACGGTTTATATTTTTCTATTGAAATACCTAGTTTTAAGTGAAATAATAGAAAAAATAAACCTGTTCTACAATAACAACCCCCCTACATCTGCGTTATCGCCGCGTAATGCATGTGGGACATTTATAAAAATAAAAAATGTTATACCTAGTTGAATAGTTTTTTTTTTTATAAAATAACTAATTTATGGAATTAAGTACATAAAATTTGGAATTTGTGATATTTTTTTTGCTGTATTCCACAGAATGAAGTTTTTGAGAATAAATGCAAATTACGGTTACTTTGAATATAAACATGTAATCGGAGGCTTTACATAGCAAAAATAAAATTTTTACTCGTGTTCCTCGCGCCATTATCCGTTCAAACAAGCGGGCATCCCCTCTAAAACGTTTTGATCCTTTAATTCCTTTTCATTGAGGGTAGGATTTGAACCAGAATGCTATGCATTTATTGCATTATGCAAATATTGTTTTGCCTTTACGATAGGTACTTATTTGAGAACAGGTATTTTAATTAGTTTTGCAAAACTATACACAATACGCGGGTTAACCGCGTCGAGTTGGTCTGATCATGGCATGTCAGTGATGTCCGCACGAAATCCCACTCCAAACTGAATCGAAACTGGCCACAAATTATGCAGTTAGCACCCAACAGAGCCAATGCATATTCGCATTTTGTTTCGGCAAATAACAAAGAATCAATTTTATTTGTGGCGGTCTAAAGAGACCAAGCAGTCAGTGGAGGGTTTGTTCGTTTCTTAAGATTAAAATAATGCTAGTATATTCATTACTTTCATTGTTTATCTTGATTAGTTACTTCTATGCATGTCATCAATTTTTAATTGTTGATACCTACGATGATACTGCTAGAAGAATTGGGTATTTGCCACCACTCCCCAATAATTCTAAAGCACAACTTCATTGTGGTCTTAAAAACTTAATTAATTTTAAATTATTCGTACCTGTAAGTTAAGATTTTTGGTTGCATTGTAATTGACGCTTGAG